TGTTCCAAGGCTCTTTTAGCACGGAGCCTAGAAAACTGGGACTTTTTTGACAGACTAATTACGCTGGTTATAACTTTGGTCCATTTAGTGTGATCCAGAAACTAAAGCTCTTTCAAAGCATTACAAGCGCTTTGACTCCCCTCTCCTAAATAAGAAGGCACCTATCACACCCATGGCAGGCAAAGTCATGCTCACAATCCTGTGGGACTAGCATGTAGGTAGTGGAGGTACTGCAATTACAGGAGCTTACTATGCTTTACTGCTACATGAGGACACCCCTGTTCTCAACTCCCACATTGCCCAGATAGAAGTGCGGTCCTGTGGCAGTCCCCCTTATTCTCCTGAGCTTGTATCATCTGTCTTTCACCTCTTTCCATTCATGAAGTTATTTTGGAATGGGAAATGTTTCCATGATGGCGAGACACTGATTTCTGAAATTTCATAGCTTCAAATGCAACTTGCGGACAACTACAAGTCCTGCTCTAACAGAGAACACGTTATGAGTTCAGGACTGGAAATCAACACATGACCAACAGATATTGTATCATTATGCATGAGAAATTTTAGCCTCCTAGAATATCCAAAAGTGGGTCAGTGGAAAATTTTAATGAGTGCTCCTCATGAGTGAGTGTGTATATATGTATATATGTTTACATATGGTTTATATATATATATATATATATATATATATATATATATATATATATATATATATATATATATATATATATATATATATATACATATATATACATATACACATACATATACAGAGAAATAGTTACCATATTATTATTGCTATTGTTATTGTTTTTATCATTCCACTACATTACATGGGCCTCTCTCACTCTCTCTTTTTCTCATTATTTATTTATGTGTGTGTATATATATATATATATATATATATATATATATATATATAGAGAGAGAGAGAGAGAGAGAGAGAGAGAGAGAGAGAGAGAGAGAGAGAGAGAGAGAGAGAGAGAGAGAGAGAAAGAGAAAGAGGGAGAAAGAGAAAGAGAAAGCGTGAGCAGGGGAGTGAAGAGTGAAAGCAAGGGAGAGAGAGAAAGAGAGAGAGAGAGGGAAAGAGGAGGGAGAGAGAGAGAGAGAGAGAGAGAGAGAGAGAGAGAGAGAGAGAGAGAGAGAGAGAGAGAGAGAGAGAGAGAGAGAGAGAGAGAGAGAGAGAGAGAGAGAGAGAGAAAGAGAGAGAGAGAGAGAGAGAGAGAGAGAGAGAGAGAGAGAGAGAGAGAGAGAGAGAGAGAGAGAGAGAGAGAGAGAGAGAGAGAGAAAGAGAGAGAGAGAGAGAGAGAAAGAGAGGGAGAGAGAGGGCAGATAAATAAATACATATATAAATATAGATATAAAGATATAATGTGTGATTTTTTAAATTCATTTAAACATTTAAAGTATCCAAACATCTTCAGGCTATTAAAACACTTTGCTGTTAGTCTACATTTCAGTAAAAACCTACTCATAGCTATATGATGTTAACCCCAATTATTTGATGTGATGGACCACAATATTGTTTTTATGTAAAAGAAAAAATATGTTACCAAGACAACTACTTACGATCAGATATTTAAGAACTTTGTCCCAATAGCCCACCCATGCCAGATACTGGATTATTGAGTCATATAGTCATTTTACATTAATTAACTTGCTTTTGGTTTTGAATTCATTGACTTTTGAATAAATCAAGTGGTCCTTTTGTCTTTTGATCATAAATAATTTTAAAAAATATAAAATAGGTATTTCATCTCACTGGTCAAAAGTACCCTATAAGATCTGTATATAGAGATAATTCACATAAATGACCTTGATTTGGAGACAGCAAATACTGCATTAATATTTGCTGTGTGTGTATATATAAATATAGATACACTGTTTTTGTTGTTGTTGTTTTAATGAATGTTTTTGTGTAATAACCATTGCTGTTTCATTTCACCCATTATGAAAGGACTTGCAGCAGTATCTTTGAACAACGTAAGTATTCACCATCCTTTGCTGTAATTCTTGTAGCCTCAACCAAAATGGACAAATCAGTATATAATACTCCGTACTTCTGCTGTATTGAGCAAACACAAGGAGAGCTAGGTTTTTCATTGCATCTCATGCAAATCTTTCACAATTAAATCATAAACAGTGTATTATTAGATTTTAAAGTTTTTGTACAGACCTGCTTCCCCCTTAAAGATAATTATAATTTTCTAAATCTACATTCACTAGCCACGTTTCTTCAGAATGTGTGTGGAGTGGGATATTCAAACACCAACAACTTTATAACCAGACAGGAAAAGAAAAAAAACATGTCACGTAAAAATGTCTATTTTATACAACTGTACAAAATGGTATTTCATCCAGTCTACCACATTCAGTTGGGCAAACACTGTTTCCGCCAATAATCCTGTCAACTTGTAAATGGTCAAGAAAAACACTTTACAACAAAGTCAGATTCAGTGACATACTTTAGACCTAACATTTTGCTGTTTTAAGTCTGAGGTATGATAAAAAAACAACCAATTCACGCACACCTAATAAAGCTTTACATTCGGTCAGTATCACAATACTGGAGTCAATAAAAATCCATATATTAATACTATAAACTTTTCTTTTTTAAATTACCTCTGTTGCTCAGACTTAACACAGTAGCAGCGTCAATTGTCTAAATTTTGCCCCGGAGGAACCGCTCGGACAGAGATGTCGGTTCCATCAGTTGTGATTGGTGAAAGGCCTTTACATCAGGGGAACAAATTTCAGGTGCTTCACTTGAACAATATTTGAATCATGATATTTTTTTCTTCTGTTTGCATCCTGGTTAAGAATGTCTATTTTATACAACTGTACAAAATGGTATTTCATCCAGTCTACCACATTCAGTTGGGCAAACACTGTTTCCGCCAATAATCCTGTCAACTTGTAAATGGTCAAGAAAAACACTTTACAACAAAGTCAGATTCAGTGACATACTTTAGACCTAACATTTTGCTGTTTTAAGTCTGAGGTATGATAAAAAAACAACCAATTCACGCACACCTAATAAAGCTTTACATTCGGTCAGTATCACAATACTGGAGTCAATAAAAATCCATATATTAATACTATAAACTTTTCTTTTTTAAATTACCTCTGTTGCTCAGACTTAACACAGTAGCAGCGTCAATTGTCTAAATTTTGCCCCGGAGGAACCGCTCGGACAGAGATGTCGGTTCCATCAGTTGTGATTGGTGAAAGGCCTTTACATCAGGGGAACAAATTTCAGGTGCTTCACTTGAACAATATTTGAATTATGATATTTTTTTCTTCTGTTTGCATCCCTGGTTAAGAAGTCTATTTATAATAACTATATCTGCAATGCATTTGATATACAAGAACCTCCTGTGGCATGCACAAAACAGTAATCCTCATTCAAGAATGGATACAAATCTTCTGAAGTTCTCTTATCACAGTGATCATGAGGCTTGTCATCATGTTATTTGAACAAAACCACATTTATTGTTGGTCAGGCTAGAAAGATCCCACGAGAAGGCATCTATAACATTTAAAATTTCTATATCTACACATAAGCTTTCAAACACATGAATGAAACCATATAAAACTGTGATATATAAAAACAAAAACATTATAGAAAGAAAAAAAAAAAGATATAAACATGAAAACAAAAACACATGTGGGTGATTTAATGTTAGGCTGATAAGAAAAATGAACATGTATATATAAAATAAATCATAACTATCTCCAAAACCTTCATAGGTTTGAAAATAAAACAAAAGCAAAAAAAAAACAAACAAACAAAAAAAAAAAAGAAGAATCACATGTACAGGATATGAGAATTCAACTCTATGAAAAAGAAAAAAAAGAAGAAATTAATATCATAAAATTCTAATAGCAATAATAATGATAACAATAAAAAAAAAATAAGAATTAATGATGATGAACATAACAATAATAATAATAATATGAACTCACACCCTGGAAATCATTTAAGGTCCTGTGTAGCAATCCTCGTTTGCTAATACTGAACTGTTCTAGGTCGGGCCCCTATGCATGCCACAAAATGCCACATCAGAGCCAACACAATAAAGCATCGCATAAAAGTTTTCGAAAAAGGGGGGGGGGGCAGCATTTGGAAAGTTAATATTACATGTAAACGAAAAAAAAAAAAAAAAAAAAAAGTAATTAATAAATTTACAAAACAATAAATTAAGATTGCTTGCGTTAGGAGAAGCGGAAGGAACGGTGAGGAGTCTCTCAGAGCGGGAGTACGAAAGGGGTCGCGGGCATTCGAACCTGGTGCCTCAATGCCCAGCTGCGAGTCATAAAACTTTTGCTCTACTTTAGTGTAATTGGCCTCAGGTTGTCTAATCTAAAGGTGGGTTGGTCATCATAAAAATAAATATAGGCTGATTAATAATAGTAATAATAATGATAATGATGATAATAATAATAACAAATAATGATAATAAAAATGATTATAGTAATAGCAATAATAGTTGTAATAATAGTAATGACAATAACAATCAATGAGTAATAATGATAATAATACAATAACAAACACAAAATAATAAAAAAATTAAATAAATACTAGAATCAGCATTACAAACAATAAGCAAATGAATGAATAAAAGAAAGCACACTGGTCGAGAGTAAATAAAGAAAATGCTCTATTTTCTGCGTTTCCCTTTTCTTCTGAACACAAAATAAACTTTGAGAAGAACAACACAATGATGTAAGAGTTCTTGCAAAAAGGATGTAGTTGGCCATTCCACAATGAACAAATTCCTTGGGTGTTGATGCCCAACAGCCGAGGGTGGGCGTTGGCTCAAATTGGATTATGACAGACAGAGAGAGGTAGTTGTCTGGATAGTCAAGCTGTCATTCCTTTCCATGGTGAGGGTTTTGCAAATGGTGGATATTGCACTTGTCAGACAATGCCGTTGCTGTAACACATTTTCATACAGTAATGATTTTTGACAAAGACTTATTTTCTTTTTCTCCTTCTCTCTCTCTCTCTCTCTCTCTCTCCCTCTCTTTTGTTTGTTTGTCTATTATTGTCATAGTGTCAATAGCTTGTAAAAGAAAAACAGAAAGGCTATGAACAGCCGTCCTCAAGTGCAAAATCCTATCCTCAGAGTGCAAGGAATAGAATGGCTAATCAATGAAGGCACTTTGTGTGCTTGCAACCACAAAAAGAAATAATGAAAACAAAAGGGCACAGTAAAGAAAAGAAAAGAAAAAAAAAGAAAAAAATCTTAGAAATTAATCTATATGAAAAAGCCTCTGATATGAATTAGCACAAATTATTGTTTAATATGGCAATCTTTGCATATTTGTATTAAAAAAAACAGAAAAAGAGGACTACAACATACAAATGATGATGCTCATGCTGTAGAAAACAAGGTCTTGTTTCAACATATTCACATACATATGTCTTGGCACTAAAACAGCACACTTAATGAACGGGAACAAACTTTCCAGTCCATTACCTTCACCTCCTGACTTTTAAAGCCTTTGGATTAAGAAACATCTGAGATCACAAAAAATTCCCTAACAATGTCAACAACTTGCAAAGAGAAATAATAATAATAATAATAATAATAATGATAATAATAATAATTAATAATAATAATAATAATAATAATTATAATAATATTCTACCGGTATACGGGTGGCTACATGAGATGCACGTTGCGGGGCTGCGGGTTAAAAGGAGAAAGGAGACAACGTGCATCCCTTGAGCCCCAGTGATAACTAGACTATCCAACAGTTCATAACACTGACATTCCTAAGCTACAGAGGATTGGAAAAAAATTGAAGAGTGAAGCGATATGTGTAGAACAATCGTTAGAAGCTGCTTTTTTCGGCAGTAACAGCCTTCAATGATAGTTTGTACAAAGTGGAGAGAAACAGTGTATCGTATAATACAATGATGAAGTTGTGAAAGACACTGTCACAATCATGCCTCACCATAGACTTGCAAACAGATTTCATTTTCTCTGAGTATAAATTACAAAAATATTTAATCACTTTGTTCACATTTGGATAGTCACAATATGCATTGCGTGATTCAATAATGCATGTGTTTTTTTTTTTGTTTTTTTTGGGTTTTTATATTTTTATATTTTTAAGTACAGTAGGCATTACAATATATTTGCATGTCGACGACCTGGATGGGCTATTACCCCAGCACACTATACTGTACATTGAGTGTTTGTCAATGAGGCACAGGGCAGGTCACACTCACTCTTCATTTGCACCAATTGCCAGCCCAACATTTATATATCTGTACATCATATTATTATGCTCAACCATCAACATCACTGGCAAGCTGTCCAGTGAATTTAATGATTTAAATAGTTTTGTTTAGTTTTATACAAATCATTTGCCTTTGACAGTAGTGTCGTGCACATCCAGAGTTGCTTATCTGAATATCAGATCACAAAAACTCTGCATGGTACATCAGTAAACCAATACTGAACTACTAATGCTGTTACATTGCAGAAAACACATGCAGATTTACAAATACAAGCAACATCTGCTGAGCTTGAGTATCATGTTTTACTTTATCATGAATGCCTTTGATGGTTTTCAAGTAACCAGAGTTTTCATAGCTGTCTTTGCCATCTTTAGGCTGCAACCCGGCAAACAGCTGCCACAGTATGTTGGAACATCTCAACATAACACAAACTGGTACAAGGGTAAGCTGCCAGACCATACAGTACAACCGTGAGAGTATGTGCTTGGTGTTTTGGCTTGATGCTTGGAGCCTGGATGAAATTATTTTTGTTTTTTGTTTTTTTCAAGTATTAAATTCGAGCACTTATAGGCAAGAGGTCAGCACTGCAACAGACAGGCAGATAATTTACATAGGGGCACAACTGTAATCCTTCACAAGGCATTTCCTGCAATGCGGAACATGGTGCTAAACAAGATGCCAGCTCAACGTCTGACATGACGCTAGAATGAGCTGCACTGGGGCGTGTTGTTAGTCTTTCACCAGACGATAAATGTGATGTTGCGCACCATGCTCAGACGTAGAAACTTCAAACACATATGCTACACACAGTAGTGTCTCTTGCGTGTCGCGGTTGGTTACCACCTGTGGAGAAAAAAATGCTGTGAGTTTTTTACAATCAGACACATTTTTTACCTAATGAGGGATTTTGGACTTTTCAAATGTTGAGAGATAGGAAATAACACAGAAAATTTTATTAATCTGAAAAGGCATATCCTTTTTTCATGATCTCATTTCAATACATCCTCTGAAAATAAAATGCTACTACAAGAATAAAAGAGCTTTTCAAAAACTAGTGAACTACTTTTGTAGAACCCTATGTATTTTTTTTTTCTAAAGAACAAGAATGTCAAGTCTGATTTATTCAGACATAAACAGCTACTCCTATCACATTCTCCCACTAAATTACTGTGTATTTATTCTTGAGGGGAGGGGGAGAGGGAGAGGGAGAGGGAGGGAGGGAGGGAGAGGGGGAGGGAGGGAGGGAGAGGGGGAGAGGGAGAGGGAGAGGGGGAGAGGGAGAGGGAGAGGGTGAGAGGGTGAGAGAGAGAGAGAAAGTGAGAGAGCGAGAAAGAGAGAGAGAGAAAGTGAGAAAGAGAAAGAGAAAGAGAAAGAGAGAGAGAGAGAGAAATAGAAAGAGAAAGAGAGAAACAGAGAGAAACAGACTAACACACATCACCCAAGTGCACAGTACCTGTAAAATGGTGAAGTTCTCCAAGACACTGTTCATCATATATTTCTCCGGAAGGTGTTTCAGTTTGTGGATGAAATTGATCATGTACTCGCACATCGGAGAGCGGTGGATGCGGTACACAAAGCGGCCATTCTCGAAGCGGGCGTATTCTGTCTCCACTTTCTCGACCACCTGCTTGCCAAACGAGCATACTTTCGTGGAGCAAGTGATTGTCATATTCTCAGGACTCTCATACCTGTTGCGGAAAGAGGGAGAGAGATTAGCTTAGTTACCTATACTGATATTTTTGTATAGAAAAGAGAGATACAGGGTAGGTTATCTGTCTATACCAAATGATTTATATAAATTACATGACTATTTGTTTAACATATAAATTGGTCTGATGTACTTATATGGTTATAGTTAGAAGTATAATGAATTAGCAATTCCTATTAATGCATAAATGGTAATTGTTTGTTAACATCTATTTATCTATCTCTCCTTCCTATATACCGTTAAATAAAAAAAAAAACAGTAACAAAATAGTTATAAAGATTGTTCATAACTAAATAGAAAAGTATACGAAGTAAGAAAGCAATAAAATACATATAGATAACAATCTTAACCCATTGCCACCAGGGAAAATGAACAAAAAATGGGGGATATGCGGTACTCATTTTTTATATTTTTGTGAAATATCTCTGTCCATAGATGGCTCTGCTAGTCCTGATTTCACCTTCCCTTGAATTGGTATTCTTACTAGTGCAATAAATATAGATGGTGTTATTTTTAACAGCAAATTAGGATAACGTTATATATTTTCGTAAATTGATGAAAAGGGTGAACGGGCGAGACAGGCAGTACTCCTAATTGGCTCATTGGACACTTAGTACAAGTGTAGCCATCTATGTGTAAAAACAATCGAACAAGTTGATTCACAGTGGGCATGGCATGTACGTACATGCCATCCCTGGCGGCAATGAGTTAGGAAATAATAACAACAGTCTTAAGAAACAGATATTCTGAATTCTAGAAATTAAATCCCACAATCAGATTGAAATTGAAAGGCTTATAACTATGCACCAAGCACTGATCAGGTTAGCTGGATATCATGTAATTTTTCACACTGATTCACTAAAGCTATTTTTTACCACATCTTGTTTAAAACACGCACACAAGCACACATGCACACGCACACACACACACACACAGAGAATGACCAGAAGAAAAGCTAATAATTTTGCCACTGGACACAATCAACCACTTTGCTTTCAAATTATTTGGATTTTAAAATCTATTCTGGGCCTGAAGGGTTAAACTAAAACGAAGACAAGACAACTTACTGGCTTGTGACGCCATAGAAGGTTCCAGACTCGTCCTGAATATTGACGTTAAGATCAGCCCAGAACTTGACAAGGAAGAAGGCGTTCTGTGGGCCCTTGTCGTAGAGTTCCTTTAGGCCTCCTTTCTTCTCTGGGAATTTATCATAAATCTGTCGAATGTCAACCGCCTGGAAAAGGGAAAGTGTGCTTAGTAATCCTGTACTATGAGTATCTTTGTAAAAATGTGTATTGTTATCTTTTGGTAATTAATTATTATCTTTGTAACATTTATATATATACTTGACTAAAAGTACCTTCTTTTTTTTTAAATACTATGTATTAAGATGTAGAAAGCTGTGGAAACAAAGCATGACTTAGAAAATATATATGGCAATGTCTTCATATACAGAATATTTGTTACAATAACAAAGACTTATGACTGTAATTTTACCTCTAATATTGGATCTGCATATGTCGTGGGTCCACCTATGTGAACAAACAGATGCTTCTGATACTGAAAATAAAAAAAATATATAATTAAAACCTTTATATACTCGTAACTATAATTCTTACTCATTTCCAAATTCCAAAATTTAAATACATATACATATGTAGAAAAAGGTATGAGACTGAATATTTTCACAGTGCAAGAGATGTATCTGACTGATTTCCATTATATTTTCATCAGAAATAAATTTACTCCCGACAAAATTATAATCTGGTGAAATAGATCTCTTGCACAGGGAAGATATTCATTCTCTTTCATATTTTTTTCTACATTTGTCGCAATGAACACTTAAATATATATCTTGTTAATGCAACTCTAAA